TTTGCACAAAACAAATAAATACAAGTAGATAGCCATTCAAAAAAAATAAAAAATAATTAGCAAACCGAATGGTACTGATTTTTGGCATAGTTCCAAAGATCGAATTTTAATGATGTCTAAATTTTTGTACGGTTTTGGAGATTTCTCAAACTCAAAACCACACCGCCTCATACACATCCTTAACAAGGGCACTTTAGTTCTAATCACTTTTTCCTCCTTACCCAGGTTTTTACCCTCCTAACCTTAAAAATTACACTTGTAAAGCATAAAATGTCCATTAAATAATGGATCGAACTTCCTCCCACTCTTAGCTTACAAGCTTCATTTTTCCCAAACAAAGTCAGGAGTTTTAAAGATGGATCATGGATACTGATGGAAAGACCGACTTGAGTTTCTACTTCACAGTGCACAAATATTTCCAGTAATACCACTACACAACAAATGGGGGAATTTGCAGCTCACTATCTTTCTTGACACACACAAATGAAAAGAAGGGCTAACTAAAGCAAGTCAAATAATTCAAAATATCCTAAACACAGAGTCACAATTGAAGCCACCAACTCGTGCCCCTTGAGAGCTATGCCAACAAATGAGTTTGCCTAAGGGCATTTACGCTGAATGTAAGATGCCCCATGCTCTTCATACCTGTGCTTGTCGAAAATATTGAGATAATGAAGACCAAACCCTAGCAGCCAATACACACACACGCACAAAAAAAAAAAGGAACGAAAATGAAAAAAGACAAAAAAAAAAAAAAAAAAAAACTTACTCAGACTTTGAGAACCACATTTGCTGGAAGGAGCCGAGCGATGCCAATATACTCCCACCGATCCAAACACTATGTTATGATAACCAAAAAACACAGGTTAACTAGCTGTAGAAGATGGAGATAGATAATAGAGAGAGAGAGATAGTTAAATATTGATCATTATCAAGCCTTCACTCAGAACACATAAAATGCTAGCATATTCACAAATCTGCCACCATAGGTACAAAATAGATTGTAGAAGTAGTAAAGCGAAGCTGCACGTATATTCTTAAAAAAACTGAGAAAGGAGGTAAGAAAGGAAAATAAAAACCTGAATCTTCTTTCTGTAGCATTTCCACTCGCCAACACTTTAACCCTTGCGGCTTGCGGAGATTCCTAGAAGCAGAATGAAATGTCAGGTTCAAAACTCATAAATTCCAGCTAGCGAAATAACAGAAATAAGTTCATTCAAGCAGAAAATTCTCATAAACACCAATTAGAATGCACGGATGCAAACAGTAGAAATGAGTTCATTTATATTACTCTCCAGTCACGACAATTTTATCTTCAAACATAAGGATAGTTTAAACAAATGCCCATCAAAGCTTGGGGTTCAATAATGCAAATGATCGGGTGCATGCAGAGAGTGCAAACAACTTATTATTTACCAAGAGAAGTCAAAGGTCAATGGACGATATTCATATTCATATGAGCAAGGGTGAATTTGTGAATGGAGCTGTCAGTACAGGCATTTACGAGGAAATCTCTAGTTAAAATTTATGAAACAATGAAACCAACATGCTTAAAACATATTTTTTTTCCCTTTAGGGCCAAATATGTGAGGAATGAAAGACAAATGGACATAAAAAAATTGATTCATTCAAACAAAGCCATATATGGTGAACAGAACCTCCAGTAAATCTTTCTCAAGACGTTCTTTCAATTGTTGCATTGATGCTGTCCCACCCGAAAGCTGCACAACACAAAACCATAAAATATCAGAAACTAAGAAAATTAAGTTTTATGAAAGTTGGGGCATCCCAGATTTCAGAAAATAGGGGAACAGCAGAAGACCTATAATGCTCAAGTAACTAATCGTTTAATAAACCTGCTAAACAGTAGAACAAGGTAACCGTGGTAATTCAATTATGTTAGAATACATCCAGTGTGAGTCATCCCACATAAAATAGAGGTAACTTAATTTATAAGCCTACTGACATGCTCCTATGACCAATTGGTTTAAGGAGCATACAAGGAACATTAGAACATATATAAGAAACCTTAAAAACAACTTACTTTTCATGGACTTTCGAATGAAATTTATAAATGAACAGGACCCCTCTATTCATAGTTTTCAAAAACTGCTCAAAGCATACTGTTGTGCAATGAATACTCATAAATTATAACACTCCCTCTTGGATTTTTACCATTGCGTTAAAAATGTAGCTATATTTAGTTTACTCTGCCTGATAATTATCCTAATTCGTACTAAATCTTCTCAATCTAATGTTGCATACCAGTTACTCAAATGTTGATGTTAGTAATGGCATTGTGAAAAAAAAAAAGCCGGCAAGATTCGAGCTACAGCAAATCTGCTGAACACCTAGCTCACAATTTTTTTGTAAGTCATGTGTAGAAATACTTGGGAGAAATATGTTTTGGCCCTATCACTTTTAATGTATCGACCTCCCTGACTACACTTAGGTGGCTAGTGAGCCTGCCTCCCATGTAGGGTACACTTCACTTATGGGACTTCACTCTTGGATATTATTGGATATAAGATGGTTTGAGTTTGTTTAGATTTTTTAGTTTTGTTTGGTTAATTTTGAAAAAATGTAGTATGGTTAGTTGTTATGGGATATTGAGTTTATATTAAAATAATATTTAAAATAAAATGATTAAAGTTGATTTGACTTAAAAGTACAAGAGAGATGATGTGAAATGATGGTTAGTTAAAATTGTATGAGTGGATGAATTATGAATTAAAGTTGATGTAATGTGTAAGAATGATTGAGTGATACTATTTAATTGTATTGATAATATTGAGGATAGTGGGTTGAGTTAAAGTTGAATTGATTTGAGTTAAAAAAAAGTGATTGGTTAAAAATGACTGGATTTTTTTTTATTTAATTATTTATTTATTTTTATTTTTTTGGAGAAAATTTGTATCCAAGCATGCACCAAGTCCCCTCAGGTTTAACTCGGTATAATAAGCAGGTCATGCTATGCCCATGGATAATAGGAGAATGTCAAAATAAACGCAATATATTATAGGCAGGAGTAACTACCAGTATACTGCTATAGAGTTCTCTTCGTATGTCAACATCACACTTGTTTATGCTCTCAACGACCTGGAAAATTTAAGACAGATAACTCATGGTAAAATCAATGGGAAAACCAAGAAATAGCTTCGACCGAAACAATAGGCATATTTAAGGAGAATTTGTTAACCATTTGTGGCAGACCACGAGCAGATGAAGCAATCTCTGCAGAACTTTCCATACCAGGTATAGTCTGGGATGAAAAAATAGTAGACACAAATATAGAAAATTAAGTTTTTGTGCAAGTGATTGTTAAGCAGCAATAAGTTTAGCAAAGAGCAAACTGTAAAAGAGTAAAAGAATACTATGTAAGCTACCAAAGATAACCTCCATAGTACATATGCATCATAAACATGGAGCGAACAAATACGCACGAAGAAGAAAGCAATGTAAATGCACCAAAGGTTCAGTGTTCCCTAAAATTAGGATGGATAAAAACATCCAAAATAATGGCCTTTTTATCTCCAACCTTTTTTATGATCCTCACAAGCTACCTCATTGAAACATGCAAAGTAGAAGGTGTCTACACTATGAGAAACTTCATAAAGTTCTTCATGGGTCACACAACTAAACCACATATTTTACTCATACTTATTTAAAACAAATTTTGCATATTATATGCCAAGGAACATGAAAAAGAAGCTCTTTAAACAAAGACCATTTCCCAAGAATCTTTTTTGTGTTTTACCACAATGGAGAAAGCTCACAAATATGAGCTCCATTGCTGATGCTGGATGCTCTAATAATATAAAATTGCAATTTCATTTTTCAAAAGTATTTCATGGTTTATTCGTTATGGAAGCTGATGATAAAGCATTCTCCAGAAAGTGGGTATCAAATCGAATGTATTTCAGGAACGTCAGCGGATTAAAACTGGAAATCACAATAAATTTTTGGGCCATTATGCACAGTAGCATGGTAACCGCCAAACAATGACAATACATAGAGAAACAACTCGTAAGCAGTGTTATTAATGGCGGATGGCGGTACATGGCGGTTTGTCAAAATTCCGCCATAGCGGCCGCTGTGACCGCCATCCTTCACTAATTTGCATCGCGGATAGTCAAAAATCCGCCACGCCATACCGCCGTGGCCGCCATTTGATATGTTAGACCCCGCTCGTTCACTGCTCAGGTAAGCAAAAAAAAATGCTTCCGGTACAAACGAACACTTTTAGGATGAAAGAAGAAGATTGTGAACAACTCAATGTATTGAGTATTAAGCTTTTCTGTGTTGTGTTTTTTTTACAAATGAAAAACTACATCCCTATTTATAGGAACTAAAAACTACTATTCAACACTTTCCTAGAAATTACTAAAGCTGAAAATTCAGCCTAAAGGGAGGTCCTTTGCAGCTGCAAGGAAGCTACAAAGAAAATGCAATGAAAGTGTAATGAAAGTGCAAGGAAGTTGCACTTTACTAACAAGGAAACTGCAGGATTATATCTTACATGATAACATTGCTCGTAAGTCACC